CAGTGCTTTTCAACATCTTTATTATTGATTTAGATGAGGAGGTAAAAGGAAATATAATCAAATTTGCTGATGATACAAAACTGGGTGGAATGGAGAACATGCTAGAAGACAAAATGAAGTTCCAGGACAATCTTGATAATCTTGAATGCTGAGCTGAAAGCAGCAGAATGAGATTCAACAGGGACAAGTGTCAAGTCCTCCACCTAGGAAAAAGAAACCAATTGCATTGATATAAGATGGGGAATATGTGCCTCAACAGAACTGAAACAGAAAAGGAGAAAGACCTTGGAGTTTTTGTGGACAACAGGCTAAATATGAGCCAAGAATGCAATGCAGCTGCAAAAAAGGGCAAATGCTATTTTGGGATGCATTAATGGAAGTATAGTTCCCCTATTCTCCTCACTAGGTAAACCCCATCTGGAATAATGCGTCCAGTTCTGGGCACCAACATTTATAAAAGATGCAGAAAAATTAGAAAGGGTTCAGAAGAGGGCAACAAAAATGATCCAGGGTTTGAAAACACTGCCCTGTGAGGAGAAACTGAGAGAACTGGGCAACTGAACTGTTCAGCCTTGGGAAGAGAAGACTGAGGGGGGGCATGATATCCCTCTAGAAGTACTTCAAAGACTGTCACAAAGAGGAAGGTCAAGATCTCTTCTTGCTAATGCCAGAGTGTAGAACACAAAATAATCAATTCAAGTTGCAACAACCCAGATTCAGGCTGGACATCAGGAAAAGCTTCCTCCCGTCAGAGCAATGCAACAGTGGAACCAGCTGCCTAGAGAGGTGGTGGGCTCTCCCACACTGGAGGCATTCAAAAAGAAACCGGACAGCCATCTGAGTGGGATGGTGTAACGTGGTGCCTGCAACAGCAGGAGGTTGAACCCAATGGCCTTCATGGCCCCTGCCAACTCTACTATTCTATGGTTCTATGATCACTTTCTCCACCAGATTTTAGGCACAGGAAGTGATGGAGTCAATTCAGCACTAAATATAACTATGCAAATAGACTGCTGGATTCCTAAGGCTAGGCCAGGCTTTGCATAGCATAAATGTTTGTCTTGTGGTCAGTTCTTTTTCGCCAGCAAACACTGCACAGAATGGTGACAAAGTGCGGTTGATCCATGGCTAAAAGTAATCAGTTAAAACATTTTAGGATGCAGTCCTATACATATTTAGGAAAAAAAGTCTCCAGTTCCCAGCATGACCCCGCCAGCTATGTTGGATGGTGCATGCTGGGAATTGTAAACCTTTGGGAATTGTAAAACTTTATTTTTGTCTAAACATGCCTGGGATTGTGCATTAAGTCAATTAAAAAGTTGTCCCTAGTAAACCTGGCAGTTGAAAAAACATTATATGAGTATTAATTAAAATATTGGTAGTAGGCCCTATCTTGGAAAATATTTTGGAAAATAGGTTATGGCTTTTCTAGCTGTGCCATATGTATACATCCTTTGAAAACAAAAACCTGAGTTTCTTTTTTTGGAATTGATTTTATTTGTATGCAATTTAACCACTCCATTAAAGTACAGTTATTAATTATTGCTGCGATCTTATGCACATTTATACTTGTTGTTGTTGTTCTTAGTCACGAAGTCATGTCCGACCCATTTCGACCCCATGGACAACATTCCTCCAGGCCTTCCTGTCCTCCACCATCCCCCAGAGTCCACTTAAGCTCACACCCACTGCTTCAGTGACTCCATCTAGCCACCTCATCCTCTGCCGTCCCCTTCTTCTTTTGCGGTCAATTGTTCCCAGCATTAGGCACTTCCCCAGTGAGTCCTTCCTCATTAAGTGGCCAAAGTATTTGAGTTTCATCTTCAGTATCTGGCCTTCTAAAGAGCAGTCAGGGTTGATCTCCTCTAGGACTGACCGGTTTGATCGCCTTGCAGTCCAAGGGATTATTGTTATTACATTCCTATACTGCCCATATCTGAAGCTCTCTGGGCAGTTCACAACATTTTAAGTCACCCATCCAGATTTCAACCAGGCCCAATCCTGCTTAACTTCCAAGATTAGGCAAAATCAGGCACTGCACGCTATATGGAAGCTGCCTAAATATTCAGATCAGGCTGCAATTATTTGCACAATTATGTGAAAGTAAGTAGTATTGAACTTACTGGGATTAATTCAAGATCAACAGGCACTGGAAGATACTTTACAATTTTTAAGTAGGTGACTGCTCCGCTGTAAAATGTGCAAGGGTAATGAGTGTCTTGCCAATATATTGTGAGATGTGCTAAAATGCTGTAAATGTTCAGCAGGCCACCCAAAACTTTCAGACATGCCCTTTTCACACGGGGAATGCACTGCCCATGAGAAACGTGTCAACCATGCAAAAATTGAACTGCTTCCCATGAGAAAACAGCAGTTCACTTCAGCTGCTCAGGGTTTCTTGAGTTTGAAACTCTCTGCTGACCCCTTGTGGCTTAAAGGACTGCAGGTGCAACCCTATGCAAGGACAGGAGGGAAAATCTCCAGCGAGTCCTGTCATTCACCGGTCCGGCCTTTCAGTTACTTCCTAGATATTGAGAGACACACCATTCGTAAACAATTGTCCTCCTGAAAGGAAGGTCCGGCCAGACCTGACCAGTAGTGTTGACCAGCTTTATACTGTCCTTTTTGCTCCATTGGAGTTTGTATGATTGATTGTGATTGTGATCATCATCCTGCCTTTTCCTTTCAAGGAATGCAAAGCAGCTTCCATCATCTTCCAATTTTATCCCCACAGTACCAACCCTGTGAGGTAGGCTGAGCTGAGTCTGTGGAAGCTCAACTGGGGACTAGAACCCAGGTTGCCTGAGTCCCAGTCCCACACTCTTAATCACTACACCACACTGGCTTTTTATCCTGCCGAAACCCTCAAGCTGTACTGTTTGTCTGTTTGTTGCCCAGACATCTGAAGTAAGCATTTGAGTTACGCAGAACTGCTCTTCAAGCAGAGGGTTCCCAAGGAAAAGAATGAAAATAAGGATGAGCCACTACTACACTGGAAACCAGGCTGTTTTCTACAAAGCTGGTTTGTTCTGTGCCAGTACTAGAGCTAGAACATAAGAAAAGTTTTGCTGGATCAGACCAAAGATCCCATCTAATTTCCCACAGCAGCCCAACACATGCTTCAGGGAAATGCACAAGTAGGATATGAGGACAAGAGCACCTTCTTCCTGAGCATTTTCCCATAACTGGTGTGCCTAGGCATACAGCCTCTGATGCTGGACATAGACAATTGTCTTCATGACTAGTAGTCAGGGATAGCCTGATCCGCCATGATTTTTTCTTATCCCCTTTGAAAGCTATCCAGGCTGGTCCCCATCATCTTATGGTAGCAAATTTCATCATTCAACTCTACACTGTGTAGAAGTGCTTCTTTTTCATGTGCCCTGACCTCCCACTCATCGGGTTCCTGGAATGACCCTGGGTTTTAGTATTGCTCCTTCTCCTCACACCATGCATAATTTCATGTACCTCGGTCATGATTCCTCTGACTTGCATTTATGCTAAGCTAAAAAGCCCTGATGGTGGCAAGTTTTCATATGGGTCCACTTAGACCAGTTATTGTTCACACTGACTGGCAATGGCCGTACCACCACACTAGGGGCCTTCCATTGGGGGGAGTTACTCCAGCCCCTTGGTCATTATGTCTCCCACCCACTGCCACACCCACACCCCTTTTCCAGAAATACAATATCATAGAATCATAGAGTTGGAAGGGGCCATGAAGGCCATTGGGTCCAACCATTTTTTTAACATGTGGTGGCCAATAACATACAGAGTACTCTAAGTATGGCTGCCTTAACCTTCTTATAATGCCTAGAGTGGGCATATATGCAGAGGAGAGTCCTTTGTCTGGAGAACTATCATAGGACAGTCCTCTGTTCGAAGATGTCCTCTCCTGGAAGGGTTGTCAATTCTGTGTATTTTACAGCACCACCCTTCATGGCTGCCCGTAACCCTCTGAATTTGGAGGATCATAAGCATTTTACTAAGGGCAGAAGGAGCACACAGGTGAAGAACTCTGTATTTCTTCTGCCTTGCAAAGGACTTCCTTTGATCATCCAAGTCTTTTGCCCTGGCTCACAAGCACAGACTGAGCCGCCACTGAGATACATCACAACCTAGCAGAGCCTCACTTCTCCCCATCACCAACCCACCCCTGAACACCCACCATAGGCTCCAAGATGGGTTTTCTGACCTCAGGGCTGCCCCCAGTGCAAGAAGAACGGGGCTGGCTGTGAGGACAGTGGAGGATGCTGTAAGGCTAGAGCCGGGTCTTGGACCTCTCCTACGGCGGGCCACACATAGTCAACCTGCCCTAGGACTTGAGCCCTTAAAAAGGCAATGCATTAGCACCTAGGCAGCAGAGCAAGCAAGGACCCAGGACTCCCTAGAAGCTTTATTGTATTTCTGGTTCTATTACAGTTATTATTTTGCATATGCACGTGCACATTGGTGCCTCCTTTTGTGGTGATGCTTTCCTCCCTTCTGGAGATGTAACAGCAGCCTCTCTGCGCAGTGCAAAGACAAATGCAGGTGGGCTCCCCTTGCTGATCAAGCAAGGAAGCGCCCCCCGCATAAGGTCAGCATGGCTGGCAAGCAGGATCAGGAGGGTGTTCCATTTCCTCAGGAATGCTGGGAATTGTAGTTCAACACGTTTGGAGTGACCACGTGACAGAGTGTCACGGAACGAGCGGAGCGTTCTTTAAACGGAACGAGCATGCTTAAAGATAAAAAATAGAGTCACACGTTTAAGAGAGACAAGGCAATTTTGATTTGCTTTCTAAACCTAAAACACACCCAGTCGCAGCCTGACTGCGTTCACTTTCCACGCTAATTCGACAGCGCTTCTACCATCCCAGCGTCCACAGCTCTACCCAACTCCTCAGGCTTTTCTTTCTTCCGAAAGGACAGGCTGTGCGTGTATCACTCTGCACTTTCTGTGATCCGGCATTTTTCCTCCTTCGCTTCCGAATTGTGTGCAGATCTATGGTTTCAGGCGCGGTGCATGCTGGGAGCGTGGAGGAGTAATGGCGCAGCTGGGCTAGTGGTGCGGCGCCGGTGAGAGGAAGAGGCGAAGGAAGAGGCTGAAGAGCAGGTCGGGGTCGTAAGATAGTCGTGGTGGCGGTTCCTCAGAGGTTCGGGCCATTCCAGCGGAGGGGATGGCGCTGGGAAGCGCGATGCTCGGGTTGTTGCTGCTTGCCGCTATCTGACTTAAAAACATTGCTCGTTTTATGAGCCCCCCACCCGCACCCGTCTGGACTGGGGGCGCTGGATATTGGGTTTTAGCCCCTACTCGGCTCATGGAGCATCAGTGACTTGGACTAGTCACTGATGCTCAGCCTGACCTACCTCTCAGGGTCGTTGTGAAAATAAAACGGAGAGATGGATCATGTCAGCTGCCTTGGGTTCCTTGGCAGGATATAAATATAATTAATATGTAATCGTAAATAAGGTTAATAAGAATAATAATATCACGTGTTCGTATGAAGTCTAGAAATAAGTTTAAAATAAGATACGAGATAAAAGAAGCAGGATCTATTTGTACTTTGTTTTCTTTTAAAAATGCAAGCATTCAAATATATATTTTATTTATATATATATATATATATATATATATATATATATAAATAAACTTCGTATGCCGTCCATTACTTGCATCTCTGGACAGCTTACAACATAGATCAAAATAAAATAGATAAATTGACAAATATCGTTATAGTAGCAATCTATTTCATGTTGCTTTGTTGACGCTATTAGAAAACTTAACCCTTAGTGTGCAATCCTGTGGAAATTTAGACGGAAAAAAGTCCCACAATTCCTAGCAAGCTGGCTAGGCCATGCTGGAAATTACAGGACTGCTTTGCTGTCTAAACATCCACAGGATTGTGTCTTAAAGGATCTTGCATGTGACTGCCAGCTGTATTCATTTTGGGGTTCTTCAGAGCCTTGCTTCTTATGTGCTAAGTGGGGCAATGATATGCCAAGGTGGGTGATGGGAACACATATGCATGGAGATGACAGAGGGGTCCCAGGAGGAGTAGAATGATGCCAAGGAAGCCTGAGCTTCAGTTGCATTTTACAACTGGCTTCAGTTGTGCAATTTTAGGAAAATTCCTGTGCCTCCTTGCCCCATCTACAAAATGGAAGCAACAGTGGCTTGCTCGGCAGAGCTGCTGTTTGATTTTTGCAATTGTTCTGACTGCGTGTGATTCCAAACATTTGGTTATGGAGCCATGTGCTTTTGTAAGTAGATGCTACTATTAAGGTGAGTAGACAAGAGATGTTAACAGTTTTTAGGTACATGCTTCTACATTGTGGCCAGCTATAGCCTCCTGCTGTTCTGAAATTTGGCTTTTAAGTGAAAACTATCTATTTATGGCCTTTAAATTATTCTGTCCTCGCCTCCAAGGAGCTCAAGGTAGGGTATGTGGTGTCCTCCTCTGTTTTACTTTCATAACAACCCTGTGTGGTCAGTTCGGATGACAGTGAATGATGAGCCCAAGATCAGACAGAATACCAGGAGCAAAATGTGCAGATGCATTTGCAGTTCTGGTCTGGACTTTGGCCACATTTGTTACTGTGTTGTATTTATTTTCTGGAGAGCTTAACTTTTTCATAATTCAAAAGACTGAGAGAAATGATTGGTGAATGAGCATTTCAGATTAGAAATATGTTTGCTTTTATTCTTTGGATTGTTTCCCTGTTTTTGCCTCTGTGGATTAAAAACAAGATTATAAGGGTACTTTCAGATGAAGTTTTTATTGTGCATTTCCACAGCTTAGTTTATTGAATCGTAAAGGGGATTCTGGATGATAACATCTCACTTTGTAGCCTTCCTGTGATTTCCACCTGCTGCTTCTGTCTCTTTTCTTATGAAGAAAAATCCATTAAGGAAGAAAAGAATAACAGTATAGTTCCTTTTAGTGCTAGGAGTCCTCCATCTAGCACCCCCAGTCACTTCTGCTAGATTTCATTATACTTTGAGATATCATTAAGGTTTTTTTGGTGAAGATCAAAGAAGATGAGCATTGGGTGAAGGCTGAATTCCATGCATTCTTCCTTGGGAATAATTGATTCAGTGCAGCTTCATAAACATGCTTAGTGCTGGACTGCAGCTGGGGCAAAGGTGCATGGTTTGACTAAATAAGATGTACTGTGCTTACTAATGAATGCTTGTTTGCTCTGTTAGACTATAAGCTCCATCCATGATGTGCATTTGATCACACGGTATTTAAGATGACTACTGCAGCCAGACCAACATTTGAACCTGCAAGAGGAGGGAGAGGGAAAGGAGAAGGTGACCTAAGTCAGCTCTCCAAGCAGTACTCCAGCCGAGATCTTCCTTCTCACACTAAAATCAAATACAGGTAAAGTCCAATGTGCATTTCTTGTGGGCCCCGGGACTTTTCCGTAGTTGTTGGGTTTTGCACATAGCAGAGTATGGTCATCTTCTGGGCTTGCAAATTACCCTCTGCCCAATCCCTTGGGCAGATTTGCTGCTGGTGAACTTTAACAGATGAAAATACTTGGTTCTTTCTGGCTGGCTGTGTGCTGCAAACGTCAGATATGCTGCAGGCAAACTAGTAAAACTCTGAGCTGTAATTTTGGTAAATTTCTTTGCAAGGTGGGCTTTCCTGGTTATCTCTTCTTCACATGGAACTTCACAGGTGTGTAATAAAAGGCAAGTCATCTGCTACAACAGGATTGTAAACATTCAGTCTCAACCTGGCAACACAATCCCTTTTCCTCTCTTAGTGTGTCATGAAAAATAGGAGAACAAGGCTGGGCTAATAATAAGCTTTTTTGAATCTTCTTCATTTTCATACCTCTTTTGTGTATTATGTCAAAGCAACACCTGTGAGTTGACAGTATTTCCTTCCAAATCAGAAGTTCTAAGCTCGCAGTTACTGTTTGTGTTATTAGCCCCATCCTGCAGAAGTAGGTGAGGGCTGACAAAGTAACACCTTGTGTAACGCCATCAGGCAAAGTTCAGCGCTGCTTTGTACCTTTAAATGTTCAGGTAGCTGAGAATGCAGAAGGTTAATGTGGCCTTAGATACCCCATTAAGATCACAGAAAGAGGCTTGCTAAAAATGACTTATCCACTGCTATGTTCAAATAGTGGTTTGAAGTGGGAGCCTCTGATTTCATGCTGCTGGATGCTGCACCACACCCTCTCTAAAGGAGAAATTCCACACGCTCCCTTCTGTGCTCGTTTCAGACAAACCACTCAGGATGCCCCTGAAGAGGTGCGCAACCGTGACTTCAGGAGAGAACTGGAAGAGAGGGAGCGAGTTGCTGTGAGAGAGAAGAACAGAGACCGTCCAGCACGAGGTCTGCACCACTTTATTGGGTTGCCATTGTGTGTGGGGTCAGTCGATGGCTTGGGAATTGCTTGTGTCTTCAACACAGTTCCAGGGCCTTCAAGAAAGCTACACAAGGATGCCTGAAGGTCTAGCCGTTCAGTAAAAGAGAGACTTCCTTCAGTCTCTAAACCTAAAAAGTTAGGAAGAAGATGCCTCAGCTGTGATGGGGTGCATGCTGTGCCGTTACTGATAGCCTTGGAGAGATGAATCTGGAGGCAGATGACATTGGACTCCAGTTCCTATGTGTCCCAGTGGGCAGGAATGATGGGAGATATATTACACCAGCATCTGGAGAACCACAGGCTTATCACCCCTAATGTAAGGAGGGAGAGAGGGAGCACAGCAGTGGTGCTAGAGACAGGAGTCATGGTGGGCTCCAAGCATGCCTGCAAAGGTGCTGCAGAACAGGACCAGGGGAGCCAGACTACAGCTTTTGAGATCTTCCTCTAAAAGCAAAGCTCGGGATATCCATGTAACCTGGGGCTCCTGGGAAATCCGAAACAGCTTGCTTCCAGAGGTTAGGTGGTGTTAGACTGGTTTGTAAATGGCCTTTGCAGGCAGCCGGGCCCAGAGATTTTGGATGGGGATGATGGGCATTTCTGTGTTCCCCAGTAACCAACACTCTCAAGGCAGTTTGCAGAACAGTGAACCCTTAAAAATATGACCTAAAAATAATAATCATTTACGTACAAAATGAACACTCTCCCAGCATAGAGGACTAGCTTCTTTCCTGCCCACTCTTTGCACTCCAGGCATTGATATGTAGCAGGGGACTTAAACTGGCGTGCTCTGGGTTGGCATTTAGGTTAGTCATGAGATTTCTATAAGCTACCCTAGCTTTATAGTAAGTTCACCTCTGTTGAATCCCTCTCTGCATTGCACCCAGTCTTCCTTCCTTGATCATCATCTTACCTGATTTCACTCATTTTTCCTGCATTTTCTCCCCAGAGCACACAACTTCCTCTTCAGTTTCAAAAAAGCCTCGACTGGATCAGATCCCTGCAGCTAACCTGGATGCAGATGATCCGCTAACTGATGTATGTATTCTCAGGTGTTGGGCAATGCTATGTGGGAAGCTGCCTTTTGCTAGGTCAAACTATTGCAGCCTCCCCCAGTTTGGTTCCCTGGAGATATTTTGAACTGTAACTCCCATCATTCCTGACCTTTAGCCATATGGGCTGAGACCAATGGGAGCTGAAGTCCAAAACATCTGGAGGACATCAGCATGGGAACTGCTGGATTATTAGTTCATCTAGCCTGCTGTTAATTGCTGTAAGTGGCAACATTTTCTCAGGATCTTGGACAAAGTCTTTTCCATCAACTGTTACGTGTTCAGTTGTTTAAGTGGAAATGCTATGAAATTGATTTCATTGACTTCATTTCAGTAGCACACAATAGCTTCTCTGAGCTAGATCAAAAATCTTGACAGTACAATATTATACACAAAATCAAAATAGTTTGTGTGCAAACATATGAACAGATAGTAGAAATACACATATCCACACTGTGTATGCACATAATTTCAACGATCAGCAAAAAATCCCTTGACTTGATCAAGTAACCTTGTCATATGTTACAAAACACCTGGGAGTAAAGGTAGGTCTTAACCTGTCACAAAAAAAAGAGAGCTGTGTGAGCCAAGCAGATCTCACTGTGGCTCACTCCATGTTGGAGGGGCCACCACCAAGAAGGCTCTCCTTTCTTGCCATTTTCCAAGCCTCCATTGGAGGAGGCACCAGGAGGGAGCAGGGCCTGGATGCTGAGAGCAGCATATGGAGAGATTCATCAGGTTCATGCCAGGTTTTGTGGTCCCCAGTTGTGTAAGGCTTTATACCAGCACCTTGAATCTGGCTCAGAGAAGTACAGGTAGGCAATGCAAGCAGGCCAGAATTAGAGTTATGTGTTTGCAACTTCTTGTTCCTGGCCATCATATATTGCACAAGGCGGCTCTGTATAGAGTGTATCGTAGTAATCTAATTTGGCCTCCTAAGCCTCAAGTGACAAAAGATTTAATGTTGGAACTTCAACATGCAAAATAATTGCTCTGCTATTGAATGTTGAGTCTTTCCTTGAGAAATGGATGAAAAAACAAACATGGAGGACAGGCGGAGCTTGCAGAAGAACAAAAGCCTTCCAGTACTAGTGCAAGTTCAGCATCATCAGTGCAAACATCTATTTCAGTGTGACAAAAAAATGATAACAAATTTTTATCACTTTACTATTTCTGGTTTTTCGGCGCCAGGTAAAGACCTTTTTATTTAAACATCATTTTAATTGTTAAAATATATGATCTGGCCAGGGCAGCTTCCTCTTCCTTCTCTTTCCTCCTCCTATATTCTTTATTTACTTATTTTAGACTGTTAATTTTAATTTTATATTATTGTATCTCAGTGTATTTTTTGTATTTCTGTATTTATTGGTAATTTATTATGTTCTATTGTATTTCAATGTATCTTATTGTGTTGTAAGCCGCCCCGAGGCTTCGGCAAGGGGCGGCATAGAAATGTTATAATAATAATAATAACAACAACAACAACAACAACAACAACAACTTGGATGATTTGTCCTCACTGGAATTATACTTCAGTTCTATTATATTAGTACTATTATTTATATAGCTCTTTCTGCACACATGGTGTTTTACAAAGAAGAGGAAGGACAGGTCCCTGCTCCAAAGAGCTTACAATCACATGGAGTTCCTGGCAGAGAAAGCCAATAGGCAGAGGAACTGTGGAGTGTAGAGAAGCTCCTTCCCTCCTTCCTGATTGAGGGTGCCTGGAGTTCTGCAAGTCTGGAACTTCTTCCACAGGGCCGTGTGCACCTTGTGATCAGCTAAGCCAGAGGCTGCCCAGCAGCCATGCATTGCAGCTCACTGCATCTTCCAGTGGATTTTGCCACACGTCTGAGACTGCCAGGAGCTGTGGAGCATCTGCTTGGCTACCATGTGTAACGGGTGGGCTTCAAGCAGTATAGGGGGTGGGCTGCACCTGATGTGGGCTTGGTAAGGAGATGGCAACTCAGATTTAAAATGGTGAAGCCTCTGGGTTGCAGACAAATATGTATGGTTCATAATGTTTGAGTGCTTAGGAGCCTGGTGGACGCCCTGAGCTAAATGTTTTATTGAATGCTTCCTTGTTAGTCAAGAAGCTTGGGAAATACAGGTCAGTCTTGGAGTGTTGTGATTTATCTGAGTTAAAAAGCAATCTTAAAATCCCCTTGACAGGTTAATTGGCATTTTGCATGGGCCTACGGAACTGCCGGTGGCACACATATGTGTGTAAGGCGTTCACACAGAGCAGAGCTATGGAACCTGAAGCTCATCAGCCCAATTTGGCTCATCTGGGATTTTTCACATGCTCATGTTCCCTTTCCTCTGCCTATAGAACATCTAGTCATTCTGTGCATTCCTCCCCCTCTCCATTCAAAAGGTCAAAATGCCTTTCTTAAGGCTTAGTTATTGGTAGGAAGAACTTCAAGTTATGATAGGTTTGGCTTCCCCCAATCTGCATTCAGCCCACCCACCACTGAAATGAGAACTCAGGAGCTTCTAGGGCTGAAAGTGGTGTGACTCCCTGATTAGAGGTTTGCTTGGTTGGCTGTGTGTAATTCTATGTACGAAGTTCTAGTTAAATGTTTCCATGGTTGGTAAGAAATGGAAAGCAGGGTTCCCTAATTTTGCTGTCTTTGAAGGAGGAAGAGGAGGAAGACGATTATGAGGAAGAGAGCGACGATGATACAGCTGCTCTTTTAGCTGAGCTGGAAAAAATAAAAAAGGAACGAGCGGAAGAGCAGGCTCGAAAGGTATGTGCAGCACCAGCACTTCAGCTGATTCTTTGGGCCAGCCGGACTCGCCACCAGCAGGGTGGGAATCTGTGGCTTCCTAAGACAGTCCCAGAAACAAGCCAAAATGCTAATTTCCGGACCAGGAGAAGTCACTGGAGCTCCTTTCTGCAAGCTTTTCTCACCTGTTACACGAGAAAGTGTTTCTTAGCTTGTCTCCAGCTGCAGTAGGAAGCACAAGCTTCTGCCCTGCTGGCTAAACCTTGAACATCCTTCACACCAGGGTATGCGCCCTTTCACTGAACTGCTTTGCTCCTGCTGATTTTGCATAAAAATACAGGGTCCTCTTTGGTCTTAGGCAGGGTAATATAGGTTTACATTCCCACTGCATCACAGTTCTCCCTGGATGATCTTGAAGCACTTGGCACTTGTATAGAGGTAAATGAAAGAGGATAAACACGGGGCTGGAGGGAATACGTTCCTACCTAAAATGTATGGGCAGCCAGTCATTCAAGCTGCAAGCAAGATGAATGGATTCTGTTATGTAGACAGGTAAGCATAACTGCTCTTTGATAATCCACTGGTATTGAAAGTGAATCCTTAGCCCATGTTAGCGTACATGAAATCTAAGCAGAAGGATGCTCATGCATAGAAACATGACAGGGAAACAATGTCGAGCAAGGGCCATTTGGTGCCGCTAGAGGCCACCAGAGTTTGTGCAAGGTGGAGCACCCACACAGCCTGCTCTCTGTCTTGATGTGGTTTTCATCATTATGTGCGCCGTGCCAGTTCGCACATACGGAGCTGCCTTATCCCATGCCAGTTCATCAAATGTGAAGCAGTGCGCTCTTCTTGACAGTTTGGAGACTTGCTGCCGAGCACAGTTCTTTCCCCTCTCCTTGCTTACAGAGGTTCTTTCAGCGTGTGTTGAACCTGACATCTTTCTGCATCCAAAGCAAGCGATTTCCCACTAAGCTACAGCCCCTCTGCAATTTTATGCCCGTCCTGCATCATCATGCAGTATGTATCTGATGTGGCAGTATGATCCAGTGCGCACCGTGCCACTCGTGAATGTGGCAGAGGGGGTTGACACATCTCATTAAAAATGGGTATTTAAAAAGCAACACAAAGCTGTCTAAACATTTTCTCTGCTGCCTTTCTGCCAGAGATTTCACACTGTTTCACAAAGCAATATGAAATAAAAGGGGTTTTAAAAATAGAATAATATAATATTCCATTAAAATCATTGTCAGTTGTTCAGAACTCCCAGCTAAATATAGAAGTGAGTCCAGCAATAAATCCAGCACCAGCAAAAAATGAAACTTTTGAAAAGGGCCCTGTATGGAGAAGGAAGAAGATGGTTGCGTCTATTGGTATATGGGCTAGCTGTCTTTTCCATACAATGTTCTGGGAAGAGACAGTTGTCTGCTGGATCATTTTAACAAGCATTTTGAACTAGTATGACAGGCACCATATGTTTCACTGCTTCAAGCAGCTTGACCTAGTCTGGGAAAAGCAAAAAAGGGGGCAAACCCGCAAGCTACCTAATTAACTGTAAGCAGACTACGGGTGTAACCTTTTGCAGGTTTAAACAGGGAAACTTCTCCAATTCCCAGCATTCCACAGTGAGTATAGCTAGTTGTAGGATGAGTCTCTGTCTAAACCTGTATAGGATTGTGCCCTAACTGTATAGTGAAAACTCCAGAGTTCACCCCCAAATGCAAAACAGATACTCATTCCTACCTGCCACAAGTTAAAACTATAACCTTTCCTTAATATGCAGCCAGAAATGAATTGTGCTCTTTGGTCTTAAACAGTTTAAGGTTTACATAAACCTTACATAGGTTTACATCCCCATTCCGTCTCAAAGGTCTCTTGAGTGGCCTTGAGTTACTTGATATTTCATAACATAGAAACAGAACAAGTCAGAAGGGGCCTCCTGGGCCATCTAATCTGACCCCCCAGCTTCAGCCAGCTCCACTCACGACATGCCCACCATGAGCATGTCATGCCTATCTTTGAACATAACTTTGTAGGGATAAGTTAAGTGAAGAGTATAAAATGGATAATACTATGTGCATCTCCCTGAGCTCTTTGGGTGAAGAGCAGGGTGAGAACATGATTAAATGAAGCAATGAATATTCTGTAGTCAGAAGATCCCTACAGTTTCCTTTATCATTTCTGCTGAGCTTCTCATCAGCCAAAGGATTCTTAAATGCCTCCCTTGTACTCTCAGTCAGTTGGAGCAGTAAACTGGAGAAGGTTGAGCTGGAGACTTGGATTTCCCACATCCTAAATATAACTTGCTTCATAAAAACTTGTCTATTTAGAGCTACCTTGTAATATTCAAACTTGACTGACCTGTGCCTAGCCCTAGGGAATTTTTAAACGAGAGCAGCTATGTATTCCATTTATAGATTATGCAAGTCTGCTCTGTTATCATCTAGGCAGAATGAAATAGCTGGCTTGCTTTCTCCAGTTTCATCCAAAGGACCATCAGTCTAACCAGTGTTTCTGTTCCAAGCCAGGAAGAGCTCAAAGTTGAATCTGCCACACAAGGAGCGTCAGACTGCAAACCCTTGAATCCCTGGGTTTGCTTTTTGTATTTGCATCTCCATACCTGCTATAGAGGAGCCCGATAACACAGCTCATCCTTCTCCCAAACTGTTATAGCTTGATGCATTAACTCCGGTCATCAAATATTAGCATTCCAGCACACCTGGAGAGCACAGCTTGGAAGAAAGCTTTGCTAACTCCAGCTTTGCTGTGTCAGCATTGTGTGGCGGTTTGAAATACCTTGATTTTAAGATTGGCATTGAAATTGGCCTTGTAAATAAACCCACAAAACTACTTGCCTAGGAACCTATTCAGAGACTACTAGATTCCATTTCTGTGCTTCCTGCCACAGAGAGGGAAACCCCCTTCTCTAGAGCCAGCATGGAAAACCAGGCTACTGCAAAAATTAACACCTGCCAAACAGAAGAGGAGGAATTGAGCAATTTCTGTGTTTCCACCCCATCCTGCACTTCTCTGTCAATCTTCTGAGGTTCCACACTGGTGTGGAAGGAACAGATTTTCCTTCCTCTGCAGCTAGCTTGGTCACATATTTGCCCTATGCTTATTTCCAAGAAAGGTGTCAGCTTCATAGTTAAGCAAGTACTGCAATTTTTATTTTTATTTTAAAGACACGGATAAGTTGGAAAGTACAACCAGGAAATATTTGTGGCCAAGATTCTAACTTCTTCTAGATCAAACTGAAAGGGAAACTGGATGCTGTGATAGCAAAGCACTGTGGGCCAAGCTTTTCTCGTCTTCACAGGAACAAGAGCAGAAGGCTGAAGAGGAGAGGATACGGATGGAGAACATCTTGAGTGGTAATCCTTTGCTGAATCTCACTGGTCCGGTTCAGCCTCAGGCAAATTTCAAAGTGAAGCGAAGGTATGGAGGTGTTATTTGGGGATCTGTCCAGTATACAGAATTACTTCCATCAGCTTCATCCCATCCCTTTATGAATTGACCATTCCAGAACTATTTCACTGGATTCTAACCTCATTCTTACAAGGGCTACTTGTCTGTACCATTGTAAGCTATATCAGACCTGAGCACAGCCTTCCTAACCTCAGATTCTGATGGATCTCCAAAAAGAGAACATTCTGGAGATGACTAATACTTGCTCAAAACATTGGGAAACATTGCAGGAGACGGATTTGAATTCTTCCCAAAATGATCGATGTGCCACAGCAACACCCTGGGAAGAAAAGCGATACCATTTGGGGCCTTTGTTTTTAGGAAGAAAGTCAAGTAGGGGGAAATATGCATAGTGTAGAGAAGGGGGACAAGGAGAAGATTTCACCCCTCTCTCATTGTACTAGAATCCCATGAGGTGGGAAGAAGGGAGCTTGTGCTTGGTTCTCCTCTTTGAGAAACTTCCCTCGCTATTTGGCTAGTCTTGACCGTGCATCCAACGCTTTTTGCATCAACAAGCTACCAAAGCTACCTTGCTAGAAACTCTTTGACCTAGGGGGCAGTCCTATGGGATATGGTATTGTGAGACAGAAGCCTGTGAACCCTGAGACTTCCCTCTGTCCATTGCTCTGTTGGGCGGAAGCTGACGCCCAGGCAGAATGGCAAAGGCAGCTTTGTCGCCCATCCTCCAATTGCGGCATTGTTTATTAGACAGGCCGTCTGCCCGTCAAGTGACAAGACTTCACAGGGGAAGGTGGGGAGGCTAGACAAGGTCCAGCACACATCCTGCCAACTAGATAAGGCTGCATCTTTCTTTTGGAAGCCAGTAATCTGGGTTGTTCAAGCCTTCATGGGCTGGAGTTGAAATTCTAGGGATTGAACTTTCTACCACTGAGCTATGGTGTTTTCCCCAGTGGAAAAGATGCTCAGCCACACATTTATGCTTCATAAACATCGACCATGATAGCATGGAATAATTCATTGATTGAGTAGATTTTCATCCTGCCTTTCTACTGAGAAAAGGTTGCTCAGTGTGGGTTATAATCATAAATAAATATGTTTAAAACTATAATAAAACACTGCACGGAAACAGTAAATAACGAATAACATCTGCCGCTTGCTATCTCTTCCTGCCATACATTTTCTCCTAAAGATTTCAGCTGACATATTTTCCTTGTTTCTCACTATGTCTCCACCCTCACCCCTTGTTTTTAGATGGGACGATGATGTGGTCTTCAAGAACTGTGCGAAAGGTGTAGATGAGATGAAAAAGGACAAAAGATTTGTCAATGACACATTGCGGTCTGAATTTCACAAAAAGTTCATGGAAAAATATATCAAGTAGTACCTTTTTTAATGTGCCGCCTTGCTGATAGACTGAATGGAGCAAGTCATTTTATCTGAAAAATCTCCTGATTTTAAAGTAAAAATCTGTTAACAAGTAGTTCTTCCCCACAGTCACTGATGCCATTTTTTAAAATCCACATCTGGAATATGTTGTGCTTTTCTTATTTTGGTCAGCCTGTTTCCCTGAAAACTTCATTTCTTTGTTTGATCTGAATTTATGTTCAATGGCTTTTATGTAAATGCTTTGCAATAAATTCTTCACTCTCAGAGCGGTGTCTTTATTCAACCTCATGTAGGAACATTGCTGATTCTGAAGGGGTTGCACTCTGCCATCCCCAAATGGAACAGCTGTGCAGTTTGGGGGCGCTGCTATTACTAAATGTGTTCCTTGGAGGCCTAGGAAAGCAGCTGCATTTCTTAAAAGTCATGTTTCAGTGGGTCTTTTGAGGAATATGCCTGAATCCTTTTCTATACAGTTTGATAGTTTCTTCAGCAAGCACACTTTAAGCTCCTGCTGCAATTAATGTAATGCACTTTAATCCTCCTCTGACTTTTTTCATCCGTAATCCACATGCTCCCCCTTTTGAGCTTCGCCATGGCTAGAAGCAGGCTGTTGTCTCAGTTCACAGCAGAGCTTGTAATCTTCCTTCACCTTCCGACAAGCCCCATTGTTGTTCCTTTTTTGTCGCTTCATATGCTCTGTGTAATTCTCTACTGCTGACTCTTCACTCAGATGGAAGTGCTCTTGGAACCATTTTACGTGCCTCTCAAGAGAACAGAGCAAGGGCTGCTTTGCATATTTATAGAGATGAGGGTTGGTAAAATGCTATAAACTTCCCAGAGACCTTTCCAGTGTGGGATTGGGTGAATAAGACAGGCATGTGAGCTAGGCACCAGCCCCTGCTTTAAATATCTTCTGTTGGATACATATTGGCTGCTTGACTATCTTCAAGCCCCATTCAGGCTCCTGAGATTGACCTACAAAGCTTTACATGGCTTGGGACTATAATACCCACCAAGCACCTCTTCTGGTGGCAAGACTGGAGTCAGGAATTGGAAGCCATTCTTGGGTTACTGGAGTCAGAGTTGGTAAAAATGTGCCAAATCTGACTCTTGCTCAATTTAAATTGTAATATAAACAATAACTTAAAATTTTGTATTTCACAGATAATTTATTAACCTATTTAAGGCTATATTTTCAGGATATGTTTTAGTTGTTTCATATATTAGTGATAGTGGTGCTCCATTAAAAAAAAATCACAATTGCAAAAAAAAAAAAACATCAACACAGTTGGCTGTTTTTGAACCCTTTACAGTAGCAACTGATGAGAAATACTATTTGTGTCAGTGCATTATAGATGATGATGATTGTGAAAAAGCACGTTGCAAAAAATAGCATAGCAAAAACCTAAACTTTAATAGGTTAGGGTTCTAAATGTAGCCTGATGATTCATGTTGGTAGTAGGTTGAGTGCTTTCAATCAGTACAGGAAATAAATAATTAGAAAGCAAAAAAATATTGGATTAAAATACACAAATGGCTTGAGGGAATGTTACAAAAACCCCTAATATTTAAACCTGAAGTTTTCTTATTAGGCATTGCACCTGAGGATGTTGGTAATCAAGCAATGTATTTGATTTTACATGTAACTACTGCGGCAAGGATTGCATTTGCCCAGCATTGGAAAAGTGAAGACCCACCCACCAACAAACTGATTTTAAAAAAGATCTTGGACTGTGCTGAAATGGACAGATTGACTTTGTCTCTGAAGGAGAAAGAAGATACAGACATCTATCAAACTTGGAATTCCTTTTATTACTGGCTAGAGAAATGGGACTATGCATAGATTTAAATATGTTTATGGATTACCATAAAAAGAAAAAGTTTGGGGGGCTGACCCAGTAGGTCTGATGTTTTTTGATGATTGAGGATTTTTTAGTTTCTTTGTTAGTTTTGTTAGTAGAAAATAACAAAACTTATTTTTTTAAAAAGGAAATAATTAGTATATACAGTATATTTCCTATATTGATAAATAAATTAACAAGTCAGAGTCAAAGGTTCCATATGGTCAGAGCTGATGGTTTTATGTACCAGCTTCACAGCCCTGCCTATGAACCTATTTGTACACAGGATCAACATCGGAGACCCTCCACTTGAGTGCTTCCTCCAAGAACTGCTTGGATAATGGTAACAAGGGCCTTCTCAGTGGTGGCCCCCCAATCATGAAATCTTTTGCCTGGATGCCAATATTGCCATCCGTTTGGTGCCATGTTAAGACCTCCTTTTGCTCCCATTTGTTCGATGGCATAGGATGAGACTTCTTAATTTCATTGTTTTACTGGGTCCTGGCATTTTACATTGTTATTAGTGGTTCGGTTTTTTAGTATGTTGGTGGTATATAAAATACAGAGTTAGATAGAGCAATGGTTCAACACAGTCTTAGGCAGGTCCTAAGTTTTGGTCTGCTGGAAATGAGGCATTTTCTTATCCAGAGCTGCTAGCATGATTGGAACTGGAAAGAAGGGGCATTTATTTAAGTTCCATTGATTTTAATTGACCTTTTAACAACAGAAAGCCATTTAGGCCAAAGTGTGCACCTAAACAGGCCTGTCTTAAGTAGAATTGTGTACGCTCAGCCACAAACTGTTGGGTCCCCCCCCACCGCTCCCCTCCACCAGCAATAGATGGAAAGTTAATAACACTCAAGAAAAATGCATCTGCCCTTGGGGGTGTTTTTTCCATTTCTGAGTGTATATCTTGGCAACCGAATTCTTCCATTCATCACTTGAGTGCTGGCTTTGGTCCTGGTTGGGAAATTCCAGAGAAAGAAGCACCCTCTCAGATTCACCCATTAAGAAGAGGACGTGCATTTCTGTTGAGAGCACAGGTCCATTCTTTCTCGTGGTCTTTTGGCTCAGACTAGCAAATCCCAAGCATCTAAGCCTTCTGTCCTAACCCTCTGTTATTATCAGTTGAAGAGACCCCTGAAACAAAAGCAACGCACATTTAAGAAAGGCAGAAAATTGAGGCTTTTGGCAGTTTCTCACATGTTTCATTTGGCTGAGGAAGGGGAGGGAGAGGAGGTGGACGAGCTTTCTAATAATCGCAACAAACTAGAATAATGTTCCGCAAGAGCTGGGATGGTTTAAGGCAAGGGTGTTGACCCCCTTTCAGGCTAACACTAAATTCCATTTTGGAGACATTCTGAGGATGGGGGTGTTTCCAGTGTGCCTGGGGCCAAAAGATCAAAACAACTAGGATATTTTAATTCAAAGTTTTACTGTCAGCTAATGAAGACTTTGGAAAGGCATTTTAACCCATAAAAACTGGGGGATGGCACAAAAGCATCACCACAAGATTGGCAGTGTAGGGAAAGGCAGCAGTGCCTTTGGGGGGGGGGGTGGCCTGCAGGGGAACCCAGACTTGGCCTGAGGGTCCACAACCTGGTGGTTGGCCACAATACCAAAGTGTTGAGAATTCAGGCGCGCGTGCACACACATGCACACGCACAAGGTCCTGGCAAGCACAACCTCTCATCAAGCCCTGTGTCCTTTACAGCTGCATAGAGTGGAAACTCCACTGGTGAAGCATTGCCTGTTCAGTGCCTCTCACTCACTGAGAAGCAAAATGATTTTCAAAGAATGAGAATTACTAAATGCTTAATTAGTCTCACTTAGACCCACTTAAACTTATCAGCATGGTTTTGTGGAATGTTTTTCTACCCCAAACTAAATTCCAAAGTATCTCAGGGAGTAAAATCTTTTAGAATCCAACCTAATGTATGACATCAGGTGATGTCTGCTTCCTTGAATTAATTTTTGCTGTATATTTTTATCACAATATATTAACATGTCATTTAACTTCACATTTCTCCAAAAAGTTCCCTCAAAAGGTTTTGTGAGGATACAATGGAATAATCCCATGTGTGTCTCCTTAAGAAACTTGCATGAAGGGTGGGAAATTAATAAATGGGGAGTGAGTTTTGACCTCCCCCCCCCAAAAAAAAGAAATGGGCAGGATGCTTTTTGGGTGTTCAGCTGAATGATGCAACTTGATTCAGAGAATGCTAATTCAGCTTCCTCACATTGGTGTGGTGGGAGGAATCAGATAAAATGCTGTGCAAGTGACATCTGGCATGGCTTCCTAGCTGAGGTGAATTTTAAAAATTATTTCTATGTGGAAATTGCTATTTTTTCTTTTATTTTTTTTTCTCTTTCTTTTTTTGGTTGCGTGAAGGATGGAGTTGATATTTCTCAAATTTGTTCCAAACAGATGGTTCTCATTAAAGACCCATCAAGCGCAGTTGAATTGAGGCCCAAACAAACATTAACTTTACCCAAGAGTCTCCATTCTCTCTCTCTCTCTCTCTCTCTCTCTCTCTCTCTCTCTC